CCCTGCACCCCATGGGAGACCGGGAGAAGCACCTGGCTCCTGGCTTTGGATCAGCGTGGTGCGCCGGCCGCAGTGGCCATTGGAGGGTGAACCAACAGTAAAGGAAGACCTTTCTCTCTGTCTCTCTCTCTCACTGTCCACTCTGCCTGTCAAAAATAAAATAAAATAAATTTTTTTTTAAAGATTGACTTGTTTCTAAGAAAGTCAGAGTTACTGAGAGAGGAGGAGATACAGAGAGAGATCTTCATCTTCCATCCACCCGTTCACTCTCCAGATGGCTGCAAATGTCTGGGCTGGGCCAGGCTGAAGGCAGGAGGCAGGAGCTTCATTCCATTCGTTCTGGTCTTCCACGTAGGTGCAGCGGCCCAAGGACCTGGGCCACCTTTGGCTGCTTTTCCCAGGCCATTAGCAGGGAGCTGGATCGGAAGTGGAGCAGCCTGGACTAGAACCAGCACCCAGACCGGATGCCAGCATCACAGGCAGTGGCTTTACTCTCTAGGCAGCAATGCTGGCCCCCATAAATAAATCTTAAAAAACAAAACAAAACAAAACAACAGAAAAACAAAAAGAACATGGATACTGTGTCACAGTGGCAGCACGACAAAGTGTCATAATGGGAAAATTGTGAAAGTGAAAATACAAAATACAAATATGGAGATGCCGTAAGCAGAGGAGTGCTTGAGCTGAGTCAGGGGGTGGGGGGATCCTAAGCAGGATGACTTTTGGAAGGGTTGAGGGAGATGCAGCCAGCAGAGCTCGGGCCCCAGCGAGCCCTGGGGGCTGGAGTGGGGTGGGTGTGTCTGCAGTGGACAGGGTGTGGCAGGACCTGAGCTCAGAGAGTCACATGGAGCCCATCCCCCGGGTCTGGCAGCCCTGGGAGGCCTTGGGAGCAGCTGCTGGGGCGGGGCTGAAGGCCTCTGGTGCTGTCACAGCTCCCGTTTCCCACAGCTTTACTGCCGCTTGCCCTGCTCTGCTTTTACCGTTTTTGTTTTTGGTGTATTATTTTTGGCCGGCTTAATGAGAACCGAGGCGTTTGCTTGTTGAGACAAACAGGGAGGTGGAAAGTGGCAGGAGAGAAGGCACTGTCCGCAGCGTCCCTGGGTCGCCGTGGTGGGGAGGGCCCACCCCACCCCACCCCACCCCACCCCACCCCACCCCACCCCACCCCAGTCCTGTCTGCACCCCTGGCCTTGCTTCCTAAGGGGTACTTTTTAGGTGTCTGCAGGCCTGGTGCCCCAGGCTGCCCCTGTAGCAGCCGGGTGACCGCTCCACTTTCTAACAGGGCCTGGGGCCACACAGGGCAAAGCTGCACAGAGCCGGAAAGAGAGCACTCCCTGCCGCTGGCCTCCAGGGCGGTTGCACAGGGCAGCTGTCTGTGTGACAGACAGGTTGAGTGGCACAGACACAGGGATGCTGCTGCGTGATTTTCACACACACACACGCACACACACACACCCCATGGAAACTGTGCTGCGTTCTTAGGCTCTGATTCTCCTGTGTCTGTGAGTGACTGGGGTGCAAGTGCAGGCCCTGGCGAGTCCTGCTTGTGTGGCCTGCCGGGCTTTGGTGCACAGTGAGGCTGCAGCCACTGAGGCCTGGTGCAGCGCAGGGGGCCGTACGGTCCGGTAGGTACAGCTAGACTGTGTGCTGTGGGAGAAAGGGGTTGACTTTGGAAAGGCAACCTCTCTTCCTCCTTGTGATGTTTTCCTTTTCCTGGGATCTGTGGGGTCTGCACCCGGCACACAGACATTCGATGCCGGCCCCCGGCCCTTTGAGGTCCATCAGCCCGCCTGATCTCCCCAGGCCGTTCCCGGGTAGCTCTCTTGATCAGAAACATCCAGGATCGTCTCCAGGCACTACTGCTGTTTCATGATGCGTCGTGGATCATCAGTCCGTTATCTTAATCCGGCAGCCCAGGACTAAGCAAGTGCTCTCCCAGGCCCCCTGGACAGGGGCTGCCGAGAGCACTGAGCTGCCACCAGGCCCTGCAGGCTCGCTGGGGCACGGCGGTCGGCGCTGCCCCCTTTCCCATCTCAGAACCAGAGAGTGGTGCCAAGGGTGCTCCCGATCGCCAGCGAGGCGGTCCCCTTGCTTCCCGTCAGGGCTGCATCTTCCACTCGTTGGTCCAAGTGTTTGATGACGAGTGGCGAGACTGTCACCTTGGAGGACGGTTCTGTCTGCTTTCCTCCCCCCACTGGGCTGGTTTGGAACCCAACACCGCTTTGTTCAGGCTTCTTGGCTCCGTGGTGTTGTGTTTATGAGTCAGAGGCTGGTGCCGAAGTGGACGTAGTGGAGTTTATACTGAAATGTGTGGAAGTGTGGGGTAGTACAGCTGGAAAAAGTTGACCTTTAAGAAAAAGTCGTGAGTGCTCTTTTTATAACTTGAATGCCTTGAGAAGTTTTCACTCTGCTCTGGACTTGCTGAATTGGTAAAATCCAGGGTTTGGGCTTCATTTACCTTGAGTGATAGATACAACCATACAGCTGTAGCACTGAGATGTGTATGATGTGTGTATCCACTTGTTGCTCCCATTGTGTGATATACAGTTCATTTTAATGAAATACATGGCATCTGTTCACTGTGTGCATACGTGCAGATTCTGGGGGTATCCAGATGTGGGCAGCTGGCAGCAGCCTCTGCCTCGAGAGCAGGTGGGTTCAAGGCAGAGTCAGGAAACAAGCCAATGGCCAGTGGCCAGTAGGGACATGCAGAGGGGCTGAGGGGCTGGCTCTTAGCCCAAGTCCTGGAGATGTTATTCAACTTGAGCTTGAGTTAAGGCAAAGAAAGGTCAATGCCGAGGCTGGTGCTGTGGCTCACTAGGCTAATCCTCCACCTGTGGCGCTGGCACCCCGGGTTCTAGTCCTGGTCTGGGTGCCAGATTCTGTCCCGGTTGCCCCTCTTCCAGGCCAGCTCTCTGCTGTGGCCCGGGAAGGTAGTGGAGGATGGCCCAAGTGCTTGGGCCCTGCACCCACATGGGACCCCAGGAGGAAGCACCTGGCTCTTGGCTTAGGATCGGCGCAGTGCACCTGCTGTGGTGGCCATTTGGGGGGTGAACCAAAGGAAGAAAGACCCTTCTCTCTGTCTCTCTCACTAACTCTGCCTGTAAAAAATAATAAAAAGAAAAAAAGAAAAGTCAATGCCGAAAGGCAGTGAACCCCGGCACTGACAATGTTTGCAAAGGCTGGGGAGTCTGAGGTCACACAGGCCAGGAGTTCTGTGTGACAGAGCCCAAGCACAGAAGGACAGGCACAAGAGGAAGTTGGAAGGTGTGTTGGTTGGAGGGAGTTCTGATTCTAGAGAGATTTTTGTGCCAGGCCCTGGAACTTCAATGTCATTCTACAATGGGCATCACTGGTGGGTTATACAGGAGAGCTCAGGATGGTTTATGCTGTCCGTCATCTGGACGGAGGATGGGGAGCTGGGATGGATGAATGACAGGGGGATGGGAGGGTTGCATGAAGGCAAGGAAACCTTAGGAGCTTTTGCAGTTGACTGAGGAAAGCAGTGAGGTGAAAAGAATACTGTGGAAATAGTGGAATTAGGACTAGACATAGACCACAGGCATGGGAAGAGGAGATGAGACCACGTGCTGAGAGTGATGTGAGTGAAAGGGCTGTAGCAATGTTGAGAAAGGGCCAGCAGGTGTCTGATTTGGGTGATCACGTGAATGACAGACAGGGAAGGCTGGAGGTAGAAGCTGTTTGGTGAGGAACACAGTGAGTCCAGCTTAGGAGGTGTGGGACAGCGAAGTGGCCAGTCCTGCGGGCGGTTGGTCACTCAAGTCCCAGGTTCAGGGAAGAGTTCAGAGTGGAAGGTGCAGATTTTGGCTTCAAGGTTTACAGAAGCCCGTAAGGGAGAGTGTTACATGCAAGGAGATCGCAGAGCAAGAAGAATGTGGCTGGAGCACCGTGGAGCATCGGTGTGTGAAAGCTGGCTGCCCGGGGGGCTGCCCCGGCGATACTCGGAATCCATACTTGGGGAGGTCCAGGAGGCGGCAGTGCTGTGGCTTCAGAGGACAGAATTCCTGGAGCGCGGATGATCAGCACCGCTGGGTGGATTCAAACAGTAGAAGAGGGACTCAAGGCCTTTCCTGGCTCGGCACCGTGGGTTCATTGGTGACCTTGTTGAGAACACAGTTTGCAGTTTGTTTCCTCGGGTTTGAGAGCGCATAGACGAGCAGAAGGGGATGCAGCTGTTGGCAGCGTTACTCGGCCTGAGGAGCCAGTGTTCTGGGGAGCCGGGCTACAGGGCCCGAGGACGCTCGCACGCCTAGAAGCGGCTCGTGGAGCAGTTTACTGCAGGGGCAGAGGGTTGCACAGGTCTGTATGATTGCAAGTTGACAATGAGGAGTGAATATGCTGTGTGCCCGTGTATGCCCATTGCTTTGTTTTCACGTGTGGGCCTGCCAGAGACAGCCACGTTTTACGTTTCTCTGTAGTTTGCTTTCTAGCTTTCCCTCAGAATCACCATTTCCACTCCTGCCAGCATTAGGAGCTGTCACAGATCCTGCCCCTTCCTGAGGGTCACTCTGGTCCTGGGGTGGCGACTGAGTGCCTCAGTGAGATCCCCAGGCCCTTTTGGTTCTGGCGCGCTCTCTCCAGTCGGCTCTGGACTCAGTGCAGCCCTCACACGGTATTCCACAAGGAGGCTGCAGCCGCTCCACTTTCCTGACCACCCCATGGTCCAGTCCTCTGGGCTGCTCCCCTCCCCTCCAGACTGTGGGGCTCACCTGGCTCTTTACAGGAGCCTGTGTGGGTGCCGTTGCTTGTGGGGCCTCAACAGCTCGAGCTGGCCGACCCCCCCCCCCCAGCTCCCGTCTGCGCCCACTGCTGAAGACTGAGCCTCCTGCCTCGCACCTGTGCCCCCCTGTCAACTCCCCAGGACGGCGGGACTCCTTCCCAGCAGGGGACAGGACTGTGTGCCTGGCTCTGTGCTGTAACTCCTCGCCCACAGGGCTGCCGGCCTGGCGACACTCACCTTGTCCTCTGCTTCTTTGCAGGGAAGCAGTTTAAGTGCACAGTGTGTGACTACACGGCGGCCCAGAAGCCCCAGCTGCTGCGGCACATGGAGCAGCATGCCTCCTTCAAGGTGAGAGGATACGGCGTGGGCAGGGTGGGGTGGTTGTGTGGGAGGCCAGAGGCTTCCCTTCTCAAGGTGAGGGTGGAGGGAGCCTGTGTTCAGTAGCCATTGGGGTTACCCTCACTCCCGGGCCAGTCCCTGGTCATGTGGGGCTGAGGCCTGTGCAGTCAGGGCGCTCTGTCCACGTGGGTAGCATCGCTCTGACGCCAAGTCAGAGAACAGGGTGAGAGTTTGCAGATGGAGGAAAAGGTCTCCTATCCTAAACACCTGCCATGATGGAGAGGAAAGGGTGTGGTACGTCGGATCCTGGATTAGCTCAGGTGAACTGAGAAGCAGGTGTCACGTGCCCACCTGGGAGGCGTTGTGAGAGCAGGGGTAGCACTCAGGAGTCACCAGCCCAGTCCCCAGCATGCAGCAAGGGGTCCAGGTGGCTCCCTGCTTTCCTTCAATACCTGTAATTGAGTGTTCTTCAGTGTGGGTGCTCATAGCCTTGTAGCCAGTGCTGACGGTGTGGTTACTGGTAACAAGCACCATGGTCCAGTAACTTGTTCTGTAAAGAGTCCTGCTCAGCACTTGGCCGGCCTTGCCCTTTAAACTGATGATACTGCCGACGCTGGTGCACGCACATGGAGGTGCGGTCATCGAGATCTGCAAACAGGCTGCTCTAAGGCGGTTTTTGAAACTGTGCCTACCGCTAAACTCAGAGAATCATGGAAGGTCGAGGGGCTGTTGGCCACCACACTCCCAGCCTGCCCGGCCTGAGTGTCGTGTGCTGGCTCCAGGCAGGAACTTCGTGTCCATCAACGCTCATCCCCGCTGCGTTTCCATCTGTTTGATCATGAAGAACTGGAAGCGCAGAAGGCAGCCGGTCACCTGGGGGTCTTTAGTGCCTTGCGTATGCGCAGACCTCGGCCGCTGAGATGACTGTGCCCACCACTTCCCAACAGCCAGCTCTTCTCAGGCCCAGAACAGCCTGGCAGGAGATGCGTTCCATGGTTTCTCCTCGCGCAGTTGAGGCCCTACGTGTGAGCAGCAAGGGCCTCTAGGATTTCATGTCCACACCGTGAAGGAGGCAGAAGGTGGACTTCATCCTCTCCCAGTCTAGCACCTTGAGCGTTGTGTCTTTTGTCACTCATGGGCACAAGGCTGTTGATGATGCACTGTGGGGAGCAACTCGGACTAGACTGTTACTGGAATTAAGACTTATTCTATGCATCTGCTCTCCCACAATATGGCGTTGAGAAGGGAGTAACAACTTCTACGCAGCTGCCTCTCGCCAACTTGAGTGATGACCTGCAGGAGCTGATCCTGCTCCTGATTGGAGGAGAGCAGCGTACTCGGCGTGTGGGTAGCAGAGTTGGGATTGGTGGAAGAGGACTATAAAGGAGGAGAGAGACAACATGCACCAGGAACACCTGAAGGAACACTTGTGCAGCCCCCGAGAGAGCCGGCCGGCGGTGTGCCGCTCCCCCGTGGAAGTGGGGAAAGTGGCAGGGGGAACCGCCCTTCCACGGAGGTGGAAGGGTCGGTAGCCAACCCGGGAAGAACCAGCAGCAAACCTGGGAAGGGCCGAGCAGGCAAAAGAACAGCGCAGGGTCCTGTGTCGTTCCTCCGTGAAGAGGGGGAGTGACATAATGGTGCCGTGACTCCGATATGAAGCCTAGGCAGGGTTTAGTGTCGTTCCTCCGCAAAGAGGGGGAGTGACATAATGGTGCCGTGACTCGGATAGGAAGCCTAGGAGACATAATGGTGCCATGACTCGGATAGGAAACCTAGGAGGGAAGAAACGGGAAGAAGCGGGAAAATACCGGAGAGAGAGACTAGCGAAGAGCTTAGGGAAAAGCCGGATGGAAAAAGTGCTGGAAGAAGTTAGGATTGAAAGCGAAAGTGAAAGCTGGAGGAAACATAGACTCGGATGCGGACTATGGCGGGGAAGCTAGGAGATTAAAAGCGAAAGTGAAAGCTAGAACAAACAGACTCGGATAAGGACTGTGGGGAGAAGCCAGGAGAAATGAGAGGGGAATATTGTTGGAAGAAAACTTAGGGAAACATACCGGGTAGAGAAAAATGTTAGGGAAAATGAAGCTGCGGGGGCAGGCTGAGGCGGAGACGTAAGCTAGCTTGGGATTCGTCAAGTCAGCCCGGGGAGCAAAAGGCGAAAAGCTAAAACCAGAGGCGGAGACGCGTAAGCTAGGTTGGAATCCGTCAGATTAGCCCGGGGAGCAAAAGACTGGAAGCCAAACCGAAGTGGAGACGTGAGCTAGGTTGAATTCGCCAGGTTAGCCCCGGGGAACTTAGATTGAATACCGGTGGCAGAAACGTGAGCTAGGCTGTGTGATTCGCGGAAGCCGCCGCGTGCAGAGAGAGCGCGCGGGGCGCGAATAGATAGGGAACGCGGGGCTAGTGCGGAGGCCGTGGTGCCAGCGTGAAGGGCGCAGAGACCACGGAGTGCGCGTGAAGCCGGGAAGCCCCGCAGAGCCGGGAAGCCGCCGCGGGGCGAGGCGCCAAGAAGCAGCCTCGGGGCGGGCGCCGGGAAGCCTCGGGGATAAGAGAAACAGAAGTTTAGAAGTAAAATGAGAGAAATAGGAATGCTGGCAGATAGAAGTAAAATAGGAGAGATAGGAATGCCCGGAGATAGAGAAATAGAGAAAAATAAGGCCTCCCCACAACACGGCAATGAGAGAGTTTGGATTCGGTCTGCCTGATTAGGAAGACGATAAGCACCTGTGGGCAGCTGCAGGTCACCGAAGACAGGCACGTTATCAACACCAATAAGTCTCCCCACAAGACGGCAATGAGAAGGCTTGGATTCGGTTTGCCTGATTGGTAGGGCTTGTAAGCACCTGCAGGCAGTTCTAGCAGAGCAGAGCATGCGCTGCAGGGCACCGAACACAGGCACACATCAGCGCCTAAAAACCTCCTCACAACATGGCGAAGAGAGGACCCGGATTCGGTTTGCCTGATTGGTAGGGCTTGTAAGCACCTGTGGGCAACTCTAGCAAGCAGAGCAGAGTGTGTGCCACGGGGCACCGAAGACAGGCGCGTATCAACGCCAAAAATAAAAAGAAAGGGGGAATTGTGGGGAGCAACTCGGACTAGACTGTTACTGGAATTAAGACTTATTCTATGCATCTGCTCTCCCACAATATGGCGCTGAGAAGGGAGTAACAACTTCTATGCAGCTGCCTCTCGCCAACTTGAGTGATGACCTGCAGGAGCTGATCCTGCTCCTGATTGGAGGAGAGCAGCGTACTCGGCGTGTGGGTAGCAGAGTTGGGATTGGTGGAAGAGGACTATAAAGGAGGAGAGAGACAACATGCACCAGGAACATCTGAAGGAACACCTGTGCAGCCCCCGAGAGAGCTGGCCGGCGGTGTGCCGCTCCCCCGTGGAAGTGGGGAAAGTGGCAGGGGGAACCGCCCTTCCACGGAGGTGGAAGGGTCGGTAGCCAACCCGGGAAGAACCAGCAGCAAACCCGGGAAGGGCCGAGCAGGCAAAAGAACAGCGCAGGGTCCTGTGTTGTTCCTCCGTGAAGAGGGGGAGCGACATAATGGTGCCATGACTCCAATATGAAGCCTAGGCAGGGTTTAGTGTTGTTCCTCTGCGAAGAGGGGGAGCGACAATGCACGGGTTTTTTTTGTTTTTTTTTTTTTTCAAGTTTTATTTACTGGGGCCGGTGCTGTGGCACAGTGGGTAAAGCCACTGCCAGCAGTGCCAGCATCCCACTTGGGCACCAGTTTGAGTCCTGGCTGCTCTGCTTCATTTCCAGCTCTCTGCTGTGGCCTGGGAAAGCAGTAGAAGATGGCCCAAGTCCTTGGGCCCCTGCACCCATGTGGGAGACCTAGAAGAAGCTCCTGGCTCCTGGCTTTGGATCAGCTCCAGCCATTGCGGCCAACTGGAGAGTGAACCAGTGGATGGAAGATCACTCTCTCTCTGTAGCTCTGCCTTTCAAATAAATAAATAAATCTTTAAAAACAAACAAACAAAAGATTATTTGTTTGAGAAGTAGAGTTATGGACTGAGAGAGGGAAAGACAGAGAGAAAGGTCTTCCATCCACTGGTTCAAAATGGCCACAATGGCCAGAGTGGAGCCTATCCAAAGCTAGGAGCCAGGACCTTCTTTTGGGTCTCCTACATGGGTAAAGAGTCCCAAGCACTTGGGCCATCTTCCACTGCTTTCCCAGTCATAAGCAGAGAGCCTGATTCAGAGAAGAGCAGCTGGGACATGAACTGGCATCCATGTGTCCGGCGTTGCAGGCAGAGGCTTAGCCTACTATGTCATAGCACCGGCCCTTATGAATGGCTTTTAACATGTATCCTTGTGGATGGACACGAGTTTCTTGCTGGGACCCACACATCACTTGCTAGGACTGTCACAGTCTGAATCCTGGAAGTTCTTCAGTGCTACACACGTGTCGTGCATCAATAAAATGAAGAGCTTTATTTCGCATTTTGCAGTGCATAGATGTGTTTCCTTGGGTCTCTAAGTTTTCTTAGACCAGTACAATTATTACGCCAGAGAACGGAGAGCCAAGGAGGCTCCCACTTGATGAGTGAGATGCTTGGGCCGGTGAGGTTAATTATTTTCCTAACGACTCCAGAATTGGAGTCACACCTTGGTTTTCGGTTTTTGAAAATATTTATTTATTTATTTGAAAATCAGAGTTACAGAGAGAGTGAGTGAGTGAGTGAGAGAGATATCATCCATCTGCTGGTTCACTCCCCAGCTGGCTGCAACAGCCGTGGCTGAACCAGGCCCGAAGTCAGGAGCCCGGAGCTTCAGCCTGGTTTCCCACGTCAGTGGCAGGGGCCCAGCCACTTGGGCCATATTCTGCTGCTTTTCCCAGGCCATTAGCAGGGAGCTGGATGGGAAGCGGAGCAGCCAGGACGCGAACCAGCACACACACCGGTTGCTGGCATTGCAGGTGGCGTGGCTTTACCCGCTACGCCACAACACAGCCCCTCCGCCCACCTCCTTGGTTTCCAGTGTGGACGTCTGTGTTTCCTAA